TGGGATGGGGGTGGGATGGGGTAGGGAAGGGCAGCAGTGCTGCCACGCTGATCCCATCATGCTCCTCAGCCCCTCTCTCCATGTGACAACCACGCTGGGAGGCTTGGAAAGGGACACCCCAGGGTGATGACCCAGCTCTGCCCTGTCCTGCAACCCTGCACCAGGTGCCTTGGGGCTGTGGGTTGTGCTGGAGAGCAACTGGGAACACCTCAGGAGGGGCTGGAGGCTGCCATGGGTGGGGAGCAGGACATTCCAGGCACGTCCCCTGGGTCCTCTTCTTGTCCCACCGGTGCCAGAAGGTTCCCTCAAGCTGCTCAACCCTTCTCCCTGGAGCTGGAATCCTTCCTAGAGCTGGGAACAACAGGAGAGCCATCCAGATGGATCCCCAGGCTGTGATCAGTGTTAATTACCCTGCCCAGTAATTACCCCTGCAAATCGTGGGGGTTTGGGAGCTGCAACAAAAGGCAGGGAAAGGATCCAGAAGGGCTCAGGGAAATGAAGAACAGGGAGGAAAATCTAATGAAGCAGAAAATTGCTGGAGCCTGAGCCAAGGGGTGTGGGCTGAGGGAGCCCATCCCTGGGTGCTCCCCCCCTGGCAGCTGGGGGGGGGGTCTGTGGGGCTGGTTTGGGGCAGAAGAAGAGGTTTTGGAGAGATCTGTTCCTGCTTGGCTGGCTGGTTGGGTTCCTGGGCAAAGTTCCCAGCTGTGGAGCATTGGTGGGTGTTGGATGTGGCCCTGATGGGAGAAGATCCTCCCAGCTGAGCAGCCTGGGGAGGTGGAGGAAGGAAACCTGAGAGCAGGGGCAGGTTGGGCTGGGTTGGGGGAGAGGGAGGGGGTTTTTTATAGCAATGGGTTTGCTGGGGCTGAACTAGTTTGGGCAGTGGTTCCAGAGCTCCCTGGCCAGGGGGTGATGGGGGGAAAACGTGAGCTGGGTTTGGTCTGTTGGGTCTTGCCAGGGTCTCCAGGGGGTCGTGGCATCCCCAGGGAAGTGGCCCCTGGGGCTGGGAGCCTGAACCCAGGGGAGCCAGCCCTGTGCCATGGCCACCCCAGGGCCCAGAGCTCCTCAGGTGGCACCAGCAGGGCTGAGGACCTGCAAGGAGACATCCCGTGGGGGTGGGGGGACCTTCTCCCTCCGCCCAGGGAGACCCCAGCCCCGCGGGGCACAGCCACGGGTGCCTCCATCCCACGGCAGGTACCCCAGAGCCTGGCACACCTGAATCCCAACCCACCATCCCAAGCTGTCCTGGCCTCCAGCCCAACACCCCCTCCAATCAAACACACTCACCAGGTCTTCTTCTGACGTCCCGGAGCCCCCCCAAAGCTGCAGGTGCCTCCCAGCCCCTCCAGGTACCTCCTACCAGTGCTTGGAAGGACCTTCCTGATCCCAGGGGAGCTGCTCCCATGGGACATTCCCATCCCACCCCATCCTTCTTTTCCAACCCCAGGAGGTGACCAGGCTTGGAGGCAGGAGGAGACAACCCCCGGGTTGGGGGGGGGCCCATCCTTTTCCCTCAGCCCCAGGAGAAGAAAAAGCCATTCAAGGTGGGAAGCACCTCTTGGCTCGGGATGTCCTGGGATTGCCCACAGCCCAGGGAAGGTCACACAGAGCTGGTTTTCCCTCTTGTCCCCTGCTGGAGGGACTGGTGCCCTGTCCCAGGGTGGTGGCCTTTGTGGGGGGGATCCCCAGGTACCCCCCCCAGCTCAGCAACGCAGCTCCTGGGATGGGGAAACTGAGGCACTGAGGGCACGAGGCAGCAGGCAGGGGCAGCCCTGGCTCCCACCCCCCCCAGGGTGCTGGGAAGGGGGTTCAGGGCAGGTTGTGGGACCAGAGGGGGGGTGGAAGGGACCTCTGGAGATCATCTGGTCCAACCCCCCCCCCCATTCCCGGGCGGGGGCAC